TCCTGACAGCTCATAGACCCAATCTTGCCTCTACTTCCCCGAATGCCCTAATTAACAGGTATTAAAAAACATGTATCATCTCAAGACTTCAAAATTTAAAGTTAGGTTTAAAAAAAAAAAAAGAAAGAAAGAAAAAAAAAGGAACCTCCAACTTTCTTAGCCTGTGTAAAAAAAAATTAATTTGCCTCCTTTGCAGAAAATGGAGAGCTAAAATTGCCTTTAAGAAACAGACTTTGAGGTAGCTGTAACTGAAAGATGTGCAGATTCCACCTGAGAATAAAACCTCAGGAGATTTAAGTACATACAAGAGCAGGTGGAATAGGCCCATAGGCAACCCCACTGGCATTTCAGACCAAGAATAGGCTCCACAGCTGAAAGATCCAGACAAGAAAGGCAAACTCAAATTATTGAGGCATTGTTAAGGGCACAGGCTTATACAGATGCCACAATCGCCATAAAAATTTTTACAAAGCAGCGTGTATTAGCTTTTCATAAACATGAGAGAATGCATGCATCTTTTCTTCATCCATAAGAGGAACCTCTTTACAGGTGTACCAGCAAATTACTCAAGGCTCAGGCAGGTAAATACAAATGGATCTTACATTCAGAAGCACTCTTTTCCTCTTTTCAAAGAATTTGAAAAAATTGTTGACTATAAAGATACTTCTTACAGCCATCCTCTACCTAATGTCCAAGCCCCACCATTAATCCGGTCATCGTCTAGATATCACCTTTTTTTTCAAAAAGATTTTTAAAAAATTTTATCCACTGAAGGACTACTACTTAGATTTTGCTTTTGTATTTTAAGGGACACATGACAGTTTATAGGAAATCTAGCTTTAGTCTCAGCCCTTGTAAAAAGCCTATTGCTTTTTAATGAGAGGTAAACAATATTTGTTCTTTGACAACTACAGCCCGGAGAGGGCTTCTTTCCTAATCCATAATCTCCATACACTCATTGTTGCAACAGTCGGCTTTGAACAATTTGACTCATATGTCTCTCTGGCAAGGGATTAAAAGGCTTTCATTCTTTTTACCCTTCTTTATTCTCCTACACAAAGAAAATCACTGAGACACGTCAAATACTAGTTCGCTACACACAAAACTTGCTTACTCAAACAAAAGGATTTTCCTATACAGTGCAGAGCCCAGAGCCATGACATGTCGGATGACAACTTTGATGTATCCACAATGGGCAAAGATGGCTCACTAAACAGTCCCGGGTCACGTTTAAATACACATCCTGTCTGATGCAATCCATTACCATCCTCGCCATCGTTTTTGCAAGGGATTTACTTTCACTGAACTGATGGAAATGGACCTCTTTTCATAAATAAGTACCTGTTCTGCACTTCTTTTGTGAGAACGTGCACTTCAAATGCTTTGTTTCTTTGTTTTAAAAAGAAGGGTTTATCTCATGTTTCAAAAAATATTTGCCAGGTAGGTATTTGTAGGAAGTAGGGCATATTCATCGCTTGGACTTTTTTTTTTTTTTTTTTTTTTAAAATAAACAAGCTGCCATTATTCTACTCTATTCCATTCCAGAGAGCTTGGCTATTACAAATTAATACGTTATTTACAAAATGGCTCTTCTGTCTTTTAAACAGCATAAGGAAAATTGTAAGCAGGAGATTCACATAGGTGCTTTTGCTTATTATAACTGAGTGTTTCTTAGGATTACACAGTTTGCTATGCCTAACAGGAGGCCTTTTATTTTCCTAACAGCATCACGTGAGCACCCTTAAAGACACACTCCAGCAGATATTTAGGCAGGGCAGAAGGGGAATATTTGTTTATACAAAAGCAAGAGAGGTGCATCAGTCATCAAGATCAAATTTGAGGCATTCCTATTCAGGAACTGGACTACAAGTAACCACGATTAAATTGAGGAATCAAGCTAAATCACAAGCAGTCAATGTAAACAAAATAAACAGTTATAAAAGTCTGGATGAAAACTGCAAAAGCTGGTTACAAATTGTAACAGTCATCATTGCTTCCACCATGGCAGCATCTGCTGTGCACGAGAGACAGTCAGCACTTTTCCTCTCTCTGCAGACACGAAATAACAAAGATAGAGCTTGGACAATTTTCTAAAATAATTTAAAAACGAATCTATAGGTTGCATTGCTCCCAGCTCTTCTGTGTTCTTATTATTCTATGCACAAAGCTTCTCACTGCTAGCACTTCCCTGCCTGCCTCGTCTTCCAGATGTGAAAACAGAGTTTGTTAGCTTGCAAAACAGCTGTGTGTTTTTACAAAAGTGGGTTCATGCAAAGTAATCACAGTGAGCAACATAAGCAGAAAAACTAGACTGAATTTTTTATGTTGCTATCATGAAAAACTGTGAGAAGAAAAAGAGTACTAGAAGAAAAATTCTTCTGTCAGTACATAGTGTCAAAGTGTTCACGCACCGAACAAGCAAATGCTAGCTAGCACATATGGTATTAATGAGCAAAATAAACCACAGTATACTCTATTTCTCCTGTGAAAAACTATCATTTTATTTTTCAAGGATTTCATAAAATTTTTACTTTGCGTTTCATTTTTGCCCCCACTTCCCTCAATCGTTATAGAGTTTCAGGTCTGAAAGATTTACAGCTTCAAAATATTGTAACTTTTAATCACCAAACTGGGAAACTCAGTATCATCTAATTCTACAGTCATTTGCTTAAATAAATAATACATGTTTCATTTCCAACATATTTTTTCCACGGCATGTGAATGAGATAAATTTCATATGCCTTAAAGGTTCAAAAATTCAATAAAAAGAACTCCACTTCTATTATTCCTGAGGGAACCCTGTAATACGTTAATGATCGGGAACGCAAACCAGGATTATGAAGCACAAACTAACCTGACCCAGCAACAATTATCAGAAAGGTTTGCAAATCTTGGTGAATCGTTAGTGAAATACAGACTTAGCTTTAGGTGGGTTTCAGGTTTGTTGCTGGCAAGTTCTGAATTCTAAGTTTCCACAGGAATGGTTACCATTTCTTTAAGAGAGATCCAAATATGTTGTTTATCAAGTCTGAGAGTCCTAAACAATACCCCTAACATCCTAAGTCACTTGCAGTGAAACACAGGCTTTAGCTATCTCACAGATGATTTGGAGCTGCCCTAATTTGGCACATTTGCCAGCCTGCAAGAACCCAAAGACAAATGCTGTCTTTTGGATAGGGGGGGTCCTGGAGCACTCAAACAGAAGCAAAAAAAGAGAAGTAGAGGGAGAAGAGAGAAAGAAAAGATCTGTGAAGGACAAATATGAAGGAGTCGCAATGGTAGGGTACAAAAATAAGGAAGAAAACCTGGAAATTTGGAGTAGGAGTAGCAAAGATGAGAGGAGAAAAAAGTCATACTTCGCTTTTGATTTAGAAACCCAACCACCCCAAAGGGCTTCCCCTAAGGAAAAAGGTTTGAAGATACAGTGGTAAACAGGTAGTCTTTCAGCCTTATAAGACAGAATAAGAAACTATACCAAAAGTTAACTTAAAAGACTGTCTGTTTTAGAGGCTTCTGCATGTTCAGAAGACTAAAACCTAGTGTAACATCAATACCATGATTTCTGTCTAATTTTATGGCTTTGGCTGATCAGATGAGGTTTTTGGTTTAAGTCAGAATAATTAAAAATGTCTGTAATCCACAGATTCTTCCCTCTTCCCCTATTGACACTCACCCTACCAGAGCAAAGCTAGGAGCTTCAACTGCAGATTGGCCCAATAAGTTACAACGCAACGTCACATACAACTGATTGCATCCTGTCAATAAGAATCTGCACGACTTAACCCAAAGTATCTGCCAGAGCGTCAAATATGTCAGGATATGCCAGATAAGGTGAAAGCAGACAATCTGAATTCTGGATAAATAATAATGAAACTGTTCAGCCTCAAGCACTAGCAAAAAAATTGGCTTTTTATCAAAATTGCAATTTCAGTAAACTACGAGCCAACTTCAGATCTTCCTTCTCGTCTCTGACGGTGAAGGAAGACTGCAAGCTTAATTGAAGCATACATACGTCGTAGATGTTCTGCAAATCACAAAGATAGCTTTACCTACAGGTACTTTACTTTTCTGTACTCAACTGTATAGGTTTACTCTGTGGAATGAACAGTCACAGCAATGAATTTAAAGCTAGTTTTAAACCATGGGGGAAAAAAAGATTATGAAACATCATACATTTCTATTTTATTGTGATTTTCTATTCCCAAAGCTTAACAAATTAGCCAACTTAATTAAATTTAGTAAAGCAACTCTCAGAGCCAAAAGCACAGAAATGATAACAAAGGTTAAAAATAATGAAAAAGAAATCCAACAAAATCTAAGCAGGGAATAACATTCAGAAGACTGTGGGAAAATGAGACTGTTGATAGATGACTAACTCTGTGTGGATGTAATATGAAGTTCAGGGCAAAATAAACGGCTCAGGGGTTCTTCCTTGTCCTTTTTATGATGCCTAATCACCTCTAAAAAGCTTCAAATTTCACCTTCCAACCTCTAACAAGGTTACCCAAGTTAGCTACCTTATACACAACCCTTAGTTTCTGATACCTGTGCTGACACTGCATTTCTTTATCGAAATCTGCTGTTTCATTTGCCAAATTTTCCGTTAGCAACTACGAATGAATTTCTATTTATAATTATTTAAAAAATACTTTTCTCTATAATAACACTATATTTCTGAAGACAGCTTTAACAAAGTGCACAATAATAAGTTAAAGCATTTCTCTAAGAGAATATGATTCTCCTCCCCAGCCTTCATTTTGCAGAGATTCACTCCAACAAAATCACAGCAAAAAGCAAGGTAACATCAGGTCTGTATGATCCGAGACAAAGGCTAATACGATATTTAAATGGATAATAGCAGTTATAGAATAAAGGGAAGCAAAAACAGATACATAGCTATCTGTAGTTATGAAGCTTATGAGTATCTTGATTATCTGCTTTAAAACATCTGCTTAACCTATGTCATGCACAGGATCTAAGAAAATTAATAGTAAACTTACCTGTATTAGAGAGAGATCCTCAAGCTGCAATCTGAAGAGGTAGTTTCTGGAGTTAAAAAGAAGTACATAAAAATAATTGTTATTAGTGTTTAAATAAAAACATAATTTATGAATATAAAAGGTAGAAGCAATGAAAATGTGCCTGGGAGTCAGGACTCAAATCTTTAAGGGATCGTCTCCAACACACAGCCCTTGGGCTAAGGCAATTTCCAAAACTTCTGATTTTCAGCTTGAAGGACTGGATTCACATGAAAAAAGTAGCTATTTATGAATAGCCACATTCATGTACATTGGAGTCATTCACTCCAGTCTTCCTTCAGAACCAATGGAAAGAAACACGTGCTTGCTTAGGCAGATCCACCTGACCGACGTTAGATGTCTAAACGAGAACAAGATGATAGCCAGACTAAAACTGTCTGCTTCTCTCCAAAACGATGGGACCTGGTGCACTTAGCTCAACCACAGATACGTAAAGCTTGAAGCGATGAATGCCATTATAATAGAGTATTTCCAGAAGTCACAGAGATTTCACAATCCTAACTCAAGTGCTATCACCAACTGGCTCAACTTTACAATCAGCGGAGGGTTTTTTTCCCCTCACGTACATCAGCACTGCATATGAACTGCCAAGTATATTAAACAAAAGTGGGCATTTTTACTGCAAAAACTTTTCTCGTTACCTTTTTTCTCTACAGCAACATGCTTAACGAGAATTCGGTGAAGTCAATCACGCTTCCAAAGTAAGCAGGGGCTAATATGTGCCATCAAGCTATTGACTATATGATTCATTGAAGCATCTCCCAGGCATTAACTTCTTAAAAAAACATAAAGGACTACTTATTCCATGCTATATTGTTCCGTGCACTGAAGGAATTCGGGGGAGCTTGTGTGGACTACAAACAAGACCATTTCTGGGGAAATGACAGCTTACTACACCTAGCAGGGGGGACTGTGCCTGACTGACAAGAAGCTTAAATAATTTTTCTTTAGCCCATCCTGGTACAATATACGTGTGCTGCCACAATTCCTCCACGCTTACCATGTTTATCTAGTTAACGCAGCTATGTTGTTCTATCTGTTCAGATAAATCAGTTTTGTTAGTAGTGTCCATGATATCAATTCACAGTCCTCACAAAAATGAGCAAACAGTGCACCAATTTTGAATTGATTTTATCAGTTCCTTATCTCTTTAGCGCAGATTCTCCCCTGTGGCAGGTCTGAATAGGGCTCTTACACGCTCTGTTTCCCTATTCCCCCTGTTCACTGTTTTTTTTTCCCCATCTTATCCTCTCCTCACACTTGTTTTTCTTCTCATTACTTATTATTTTTTCTTTAGAGTTTTATATACGTAAATTTCTTCAGTCCTCTCTTCCTTACCTTTTATCTTATTTAAAGCCATTCTGTGTTTTTCAATATCACTGCAGTTATTAAGTTTTATAAATGAAAATGAAAAGACATTTTTGAAAGATGAAAATTTAAACATGACTTCAATTTTTATTGTCATAAGAAATTTGTAAAATTATTACCAAATTTCAAAAAATTCATTTTAACAAAGTAAGTAAACATTGCTAATAAAGAAACGATTAATTTTAAATTTAAATAATTGCAATATTTGCAGATCATCTGGAATATTACATCCATGTGATTCGTAAAAACTACAATCTAATTTGAAATGAGACCAGATTTTTTGAGATAATAATCCTATTTCTTTCCAAAGAGGCACCAGGTATCCCAACGGGCACAGATGGTCAGGACCTGTATTATATATCTCTATTAAATATTGTAAATCAGTGAGTCTCAAAATTATCAACCTGTGTCTGAACAATGAAAAATATCCTAACTTTGTCAAATCATTTATTTCAGAAACATAACCTCTATCATCGCTAGCTTTATTTAGGGACCCTGAGGTGCATGTATGTGTATTTATTTATTGACTCTGATACATCCTTTTTTTTTTTTTTTTTAAATAGTCTATTTACCAGAATAGGGTTAATCTTTTCTGCGGATAGAGGGGGGTTACTTACTCAAAACATGAGAGACAGACTGTTAAAAGCAAGAAGTCATGAGAAAGCAAAAGGCAGGATGTTCGTTATTAGCACAAGGCAACCATCAAAGTGAAATCACTGAAGCCCTTGCGTATGAGTCACGGAGAGACCTGAAACAGGCAAAAGCGAAAACCACCACCGCTGTAGGACAATGCTTACCTAACGCTCCATCCACATGCTAAGTGCACGTTAACCTGAAAGACTTTCACTGAAAGTCATAAAACGATGCATGTACTCTTTCTAACCTACTACATCCCCTACTACCTCTGCAAGGACAAAAAAGCAACAATATTTGCAAAATGTGTCTTGCTCAGAAGCACTCAGCCGGGAACATAAATACTAAGACTGCTCCTGTTCTCATTGCCTATGCTTTTCATTGGCCATTGCGCTTCTCTCGCTCTAGGTAGGAAAGTTGGAGAAACCTGTAAGTTCACTGCCATTGCAAATCTTTGTTTCCACTACAGAAGCAGGACAACTATTTTCTTCCAGAGAAGCTGAGCTGCTTCCCCAGGAGGTATACATGGTCGTCTCAACTCACTGGTATCAGACTCAACAGGAGTGACACGCAAACGCCACATCTCCCTCTACAAAGGAATGGCATCTCTGTTGCAGAACGTCTGAGCAGACGTGTCTGACCTCACACTTTTCATTTCCAGGTCAGGACTTCACATAGCATCATGTCATTCCCTGTGTGCACTTCATCTTGAGATCTCTACTGCAGGTTTATCCCTAATGTAGCATTTTAAGGCAGAACACCTATGATCAATAAGGCCTTTGTATGGCGTCTCATTCTTGCATCATTTCCATCCAATTTATTAATAAAGTAAGCTGTTGTCTCAAATTGCAAAAACTCCAAATGAATGAATAAATAAATTAAAATTGTACCATCCTGAAGAAAAATAGAGCCTGGAAGTTTTTGATTCTACCAAGTAAGAATTACAGCCTACGTAGGAGGGCACAACACCTCTCCCCTGTGAAATGTCCCTAGAATTAGAAATTATCTCCGGAATTATATCTACTGTCCCTATAAATATTAAGGAGACTAAAATCTCCACATCTATGTGAATAAGCCAAGAGTCAGAGCTAATTAGGATACATTTTTCAGTTTCCTGTGGCTGCCAATAAAAAATTAAAATAGGGCATCTTTTTCCAGTTTCATAAAGCCAAGAAAAAAAGAAAGAAGACGGAAGGAGAACAAAAAGAAAGTGCACAACATTATAAAAACATATTTTGCAACATAACGGCAAATTGGGCAGCTGGACAGTACAGAGTGACTGTTATAACGTGACCAATGCTAGGGCAAGCTGCTAGCTAGCACTCAGAAAGCAGTCAGAGATGCTCCTATGCAAACGCATCCACTTCAGTAAAACTAGCAGGAGTACATTTAGATCTGTAAGTATAAGATTCCTTGCTGAGGAATGCTTCTTTACTATGTGAGAACTCATCAGAAAAGGATACATAGGAGTAAAATCTAGAAAGAAGTTAAGGGTGATAGTAAAAAAACATACTGGAAATCTGATCTCAATCTGCCAAACCAAATAAAAAGTTAATGCCAATTTTAACCACACATGTGGAGTTATAACGCCTCTCATGAGACAAGAGGCAACAATTACTTCAAAACGCTATTGAGATTATGCCCTGGTATGGCCTTTCCTCTGCACTTATTTTCCTTCGTTCTACTGCACTTATGCTTTGAAAGCCACAACAAATGTCATATTAACGTTACCAAGTACCTTTTTGAAGCATAGACATAGACCTCTTACCACGTAGGCATGTCTCTTGTCCAAATATGGTGGTGATAAAAGTAAGATAAATACAGCTTTGCGTGCTGAAATTAAAGTGATTCAACACTGGCTGTAATTGGTAAAATTGCTTCCACGTGGTGCTTAATGAATGAGGACGACAAAATATGTTACATCAATCTGCAAACAGAAGGGCAGTATGAGAAGGAAACATAACTAAGAGCATGAGATAAAGGAACCTGCATTCCTTCAGATAACTATAAGCAGTAAGTACATAGTATAATATTAAAATAAGTATAAATAATAATAAAATATCTTGCTTCCTTACAAGTTTTCTGAAAACTGAGCCTATCGTGCATTTTTCCTAATTGACGCTTGTGTTTTAGGTCTCTGAGTCTGAACAGGATCCAGATACTGCTTTGTGTATAGTGAAGGACGCAGATCCATAAGTACAAGGTACAAAAAGTGAACACAGCAGTAAGTACTGTTGCATGAAGCACAGCTTTGAATTTGAAGAACATAAAAGTGGCAAAGTTAAGAGATCGGAAAATAAGAATATGCACGTCACTTTAATTCAAGCTGTTTCTATTTATGAATCTTAGAAAATCTTTAATTGTATGATTTTTGTTAACTTCCACAGAACCCAAAAATTGGTCTTGTCTTCTGAAATAAACCATTAAAAAAGTTCAAAATGAGAAAGTGTGGAGAAAGTCCAGAAAAATAAACTAAAGGACAGAGGTTAGAATAAATAAAAGAATAAAGAAAAAGGAATAAACCTGGAGAAGTTATTCAAATGTTTAACCTTCTCCAAGTACCAAACAAACAATACAGGTTCATACAGCAAGTGTTCAGCTATTACCTTCCAGAGGAATATTGTCGGTGATGCCACCCGCTGTTGTTACAGGAGACACTCTCATGTTAAGGATGATACTAGTATTATGAAACTGAGCAGTTCAGCCACAGGGAGTATGAAAAGAACTGGATAGTTATATGCAAAATACACACCTTTTTTGGGAGAAGACAGTTATACTACCAAACTGCCATAAAGCAACTCTCTTCTACTTGTCTGTCACTGTTAGGTACAGAAGGATTAAATTAATTTTCTGGGTATGTTTGAATTAAATGAAGAAAAATAATACATACAAGTGGAGTGGTTTGCTTATATAGGGTAGTGGGCTTGGGGTGCAAAGAGAGAAAGGTTGAAACTAGACACACGTAGATGACATCCTTATAGATCTGGATCCAGTTCAAACTCAGAG